GACTTAAAAAAATATTACAAAATCTTACTGACCCCAAACTTTTGTGTACATGTAATATTTATTTTAAATTGGCTAGTAAATTGGCTTAAATTGTGCAAGTAAATTTATTTAAACTGGTTGTTAAAAGTTCAAATGCATTGTGTGTTATGTTCTGTAATTGCTGTTAATCTGTGAATCTGGACTCATCAGTTTTAACTAATTTTAGGCCCATTTCTAATCTGCCTTTTATCTCCAAGATCCTGGAAAAAATTGTTTTTTTTTTTTCACAGTTACAAAGTTTTTTAGCTGATAATTCCATGTTTGAAACATTTTAGTCAGGTTTTCGTAAATGCCATTCTACCGAGACTGCACTTTTGAAGGTTCTTAACTTCTTAATGATATTTTAATATTATGTGATTCAGGTGATTTTGCAGTCCTTGTGCTCTTAGATTTGACGGCCGCTTTCGATACAGTCGATCATGCTGTTCTCATTGATCGTTTAGAACATTGTGTTGGTTTAAGAGGTGTCGCTCTAGATTGGTTTAAATCGTATTTTGCAAATAGGAGTTTTTCAGTCAAGATGGGCGAACATTACTTGAGTAATGCTTTTTTGCCCTGTGGTGTTCCCCAGGGTTCTATTTTGGCTCCTTTGCTTTTTTCTCTCTATATGCTCCCTCTTAGCTCGATTCTTTAGAAAACATGGTTTGTCATTTTACTGTTATGCGGATGACACCCAGGTTTATTTGCCTGTCAAACGCAATTCTGTGGGTCTTGAGTCTCTTATGGCATGTTTGGCGGATGTAAAGGCTTGGCTTTCCTTACATTTTTTAATCTTCAATGAAAAGAAAACTAAAATTATAGTTTTTAGTCCGTCTGAATTTTCAAATTCCCCGAAACTGGATTTGGGTGGGATGTCTCTGTGTTTGAAATCATGGGTAAAAAAACCTTGGTTTCATTTTTGATGATGGTTTAAAGTTTGACCGTCAAATAAATTCAGTTGTCAAAGCTTGCTTTTTTCAGCTGCGTCTGCTTTCTAAAGCTAAGCCTTTTCTTTCTTTTAAAGATTTTGAAAAAGTAATTCACGTTTTTATTTCATCTAGGCTGGACTACTGTAACACACTTTATTTTGGGATTAGCCAGACAGCTTTATCCCGTTTGCAGCTTGTTCAAAATGCTGCGGCTAGACTCTTGAGTGAGGTTAAAAAGAGGGAGCATATTACTCCTATTTTACACTCACTACATTGGTTGCCTGTTCATTTTAGAGTGGATTTAAAAATTTTGCTCCTTGTTTATAAATCTCTAAATGGTTTGGCCCATTCTTATCTCTGTGAGTTATTGACTGAGTATCAGTCCACTAGATCCCTTCGGTCTTCCAACCAGGATCTATTGTTTATCCCTAAGTCGAGGCTTAAGTGCAGGGGAGATCGTGCTTTCTGTATTGCTGCCCCCAGGTTTTGGAACGCCTTGCCACTATCCATTAGACAAGCCTCTTCTCTTAATATTTTTAAGTCCAGGCTAAAGAAAGACATTTTTATTTTTTTAAAGTGTATGGCTGATGGGATATTTGTATGATTTTATAATTTTTCTGTTTGTTTGTTGTGTGTTTTTCTGTTTTTAATGACCTACTGGAGCATTGGTCGACGGAAGTTGTAATTAATTGTGCTGCATAAATAAATTGTCATTGTCATTGTTAATAAATCTGTCAGAAAAAAATATGCTAAAGTTTCACCTTTAGGGGTACAACAGCCTGGCAGCCTTTTACAAAAATTAACCATGGTTTTATTACAGTAAACACAGTTTACCACAGTATTTGTACTAAAACTGTAATAACCACACATTTATTATGGTAATAATAATAATAATACATTTTAGTACTTACGTAACACCATGTTTATTTCTCATGAGGTACCCTGCAAAGCATGCATACTTGTATGGTACTATGCTCACTTTTAGGGGTATAGTTGCACCTTTGAGGTTACTGCCCCAGTAAAGGGCTAAAATACAATTATAGTATATTTTATTTCTGACAGTGTAAACAAAAAAGGCCTATGAAATATTAAAAAACATGGCTTTAAAATCTAATATTAAGTTAGTATAATTACTGATTATATTATTTTAATAATTTAAAAGATCAGTTTAGTTTAGAGGTATCGATATCGATATCGGAGATACTGGGCTTGAAAATATCGGTATCGGATCGAAAATCGCCCATCTCTAACTCTGAGTTCAAGAAATGAACTCATCTCTTGAAATGAATTGAATATAGTCAGTATACTAATGACAAAGAATCTTGATTGAAGTTTTGTTGTTCTAGTTTATGCATTAATGCATACAGTTCCTTTTTAAGATTAGAAAAAAATATGTGTGAATTGGGATCAGATTACACTCATAGTAAAATATACTGTATGAGCTGCTTAAATATAGATGCCAGACAGGTGCTAATTTCTGCAACAGCTGTTCTTTACTTGTCTCACAAATACAGATTCAGTATTCCTCAAAATCAACAAAACACACCAAACTTTGTAAAAACCTGGTAATGGTATAATTAAATACTTTGTTAAAAAGTATGAATACACTTCTGAAAGGTTCATTTGTGTTGTGCCCTCTATTGTAAAGGCGTGAATTTTAGTTTCCTTAAGTCAGGCGCATATATTGTTTCACACTTGATGTGACTAGACCATTCACTGCCATTTTGTTTCTCTGCAGGCTGCTAATTCTTAAAATGAGGGATTAGGTGAATAAAAAGGCATTTTGTAAATGAACCAACATACACTTTTCTGATACATCAGAGCAGGTTGCCAAACACTTTGTGTGTCTCATTCTTTAAGCTTCTTTTTCTAGATAAATCTTTGAGGTGTTTGCAGTGAACTGGTGATTTATGAATAGACAGCAAATTAGAAAAGAACAAACACAGCACTGATACAAAACTGATAGAGACATTATTTTAACTGGAAATAATGCCACCATTATTAATATGATCTAATCATCAGTGGCAGTGCTGTCTTGTATGTTTCTGTTAATTTTCCGATCTCTGATTCACTGACAATTTCCAAATTACCTAAAAAAAATAAAAAAAAATCATATATTTTTAATAAACTTTGTGATGTTTGTAATTCATGACTTTGGACTTCAGATATTGCTAAACATATTTTTATTTCTTTGTCCCCTAGAGATTTTGACTCCCTCTCAAAAGAAAATGTCTTTGAGAACAACCGTCTGGTGAGTATGACACAAACCACTGACCAAAAATAATTAGCCTAGATTAGGGAGGGTATAAGTATAATTTAAACTGTTAATATGTACCATTAGGCAGAATCAACAGTTAACTGCTGACAGTTCTTAAATTGTGCTCTGGTTTTTGAAGGAATCTTTTTCAGTACTGCTCTTGAAAGAGGAAGTGGTTGCAGCAAAACACCTATATGTTTGTGTTAGTCACATGACAAAGTAATGCTCGCTTTTTGTTAAGTTAAGCTAAGTCATCATTTTAGTCTATTGTGACTTTGCATAAACAGCAATGTAAATGTGTACACTGACTAAAGTTTGATTATATTAAACAAAAATCCAAGTTTTTGTGCAGATGTCTAGTTTTTACTGTGTACAGATAAATGTATTTCCCTTAATGTGTTTAAATGTTCATAAATTTGTTTTACGTCCAGCTGATACTCTCCAAAATGGCGCTACAGGGTGGAGGAGGAGATGAATTGTTGAATAAAGTCGTTATTTTTTTCTCTTTTGCAGACAAAAAGTATTCTCGTAGCTTCGTAAAATTACGGTTGAACCCCTGATGTCACATGGATTATTTTACAGATCTCCTTGCTACGTTTCTGGACTTGGGAACATTTCAGTTGTATTGCTGTCTATGCAGGGACAGACAGCGCTCCGATTCCATCAAAAATATCTTAATTTGTGTTCCGAAGATGAACGAAGGTCTTACGGGTTTGAAACGACATGAGGGTGAGTAAATAATGACAGAATTTTCATTTTTGGGTGAACTAACCCTTTAAATGCAAGTTGACATTGACTATAGCTCCAAAATATAAATACCAAAATGTTAACTGTAAACTGCAGAGCCATAGACTTACAGCTAGTGTAGATACTGGTAGTTAAGTATTTTTTATAATAATCATTTGGTTGTTATTATTGATAAAATAGGTGTTTATCACTGTCATCTGCTATTTTTAAAAGCTTATGGGCAACATCATTACGAAAAACAAGACATTTAGGACTGCTGTATGTTTTTTGTTTGTTTGTTTTTAAAAGCCCAGCACTATTTTTTTTGTGTGTTTAATATAACAGTTTGTGCCATAATTATAATTATTTTTGTGCACTGTATTTGGTTGTTTATGCTCTGCTGTTATGTGACCTCTCTCTTTTCGTTTCAAAGGCATTTGAGGTTGCTGAGAGTGAGTTGGGTATTCCAGCCCTGCTGGATCCAGAAGACATGGTGTCCATGAGCGTGCCTGACAGATTGAGCATCATCACCTATGTATCTCAGTATTATAACTACTTCACCAACAAATCTCATAGTGAGTATTGAACACTGCAAATAGATGTGTTGGTAACTTATACTAACATTTTATTTACACACATAGAGAGACAACCGCAGTGCCTTTTTATAATCTCTCCCAAAGCTTAGTAAATAAAAAAACTTGCAGCACATTCTGTGTGTAGTGTCAAGTCGCATACAAATGACTCTTATGAGCCAATCCATTAAGATTAAATTCATGTCCATTTTGTACAAATCTTAGCAGCAGATGTGAAATGACTGCAGTGCTGCACTTATTTTTTTCTGCAATATATTTCTGTATGCAGTAATTTTCTGAGTGCATGTCATGTCACAGAACACTGCAAGTGTGACTGAAAGTGCAAGTGATTTTCTGAGGTATTGTAATACATGAGTCATTTAAGCAGTATCACATTGCAGTAAACACCGAAAATGGGGGGAAAAAGAGATCCACTTGGACAATGAAAACAAAAAGAACTATGTTCTTGTTGACAATACATTTCCAAACCTGATTGCATTGAATAAGAATGATTTGGTTTGCACTACCCCTCACACTGGGTTGCAGTTTTTAGGATTCATTTATTTCTCATTGTTTTCCATGTTGTGGTTTGAACTGATTTACACTGTATTAACCATTAGGTGGTGCAAGTAAACAAACCAGCTTTGCTTTTTGAGCAATTTACCTGTCCAGATTTTATTTTTATTATTTTTTTATGTTTCGGTTTATGAATCAATGCCTTTTTTTTTTATCAAGTTTGTACTGCCTTTTGACTTAGCTATATCTCTGGTATAATTGACAGTATGTCCCCTGTGCTGTCAAAAGAACTCAAATTGTATTGTATATTCCTTGAATTAGTACATTTAATGTAGAAAAATATGCTGGACACATGCTACTGAATGTTTGTATCCTCTATTTAGCTGTCTTCACAAAAATAAAGAGCCCTGGTGGTCCTGGTCACATCAAACCAGCCATAAAGAGACCATCTGCTCCTCCAGAGGGCCGTGACACTCAGACTGAGGTAAAGAATACAACATTGTTTTTAAAAAGCAGTTCTTTTTAGAATCTTAATACCTGGATAGCTGTAGACCTAACAACCACTCTGTATGAGCATAGACAAATTCTCCGAAAATTCAGTCTTTTAACCACATTTAAAGATTTGCAGTTGCACCATAAGTGGAGTGGAATTTATTATTACACAAGATGGAGAGCAGTGAGATCTCATTTTGGCCTGATTCCATGTATTCAGAGCAAAATACTCTGCCATTTGCTCTAATTCATTTATGAAATCAGCAGTCAGAGCTAAATCACATATTTGGTTTGTGGTAGATATTGTGAGCTGGCTGAGTTCAGAGAATTGTGCTTCTCCAGAAATGTTCTCCCATACTCCTTATGCCCCCCATTCACTGACAGAATTCTCCTCCTTTTCTTTATTGTTCTTTATCCTTTCTGTTTCTCTCTCTGGCTATCAGTAAAATTTCTCAATGTGTTACTTTGGATATAAGCATCTGTATTGTCATCCTGTGTTTTCAAAGTATAACTTTTTTTTTATTTTACATTGTTTGCTTGTTGAAGAAATGTGTTCCAATTTTCTAATGCCATAATGTTAAGTAATTGGTCTTGTATGCATATTTATACAGACCAAAGTATTAGCAAAGTACAAAAAATCTGAAATACGGATCCAAATAAACATCAGTGGATCTCACCATCCTTTCTTCTACCAAACCTTTCCATGTTTGTTTTTTTTTTAACCTTCCATCCTCATCCTGGTTCTTGGTGCTACATAGTCTGGTGCAGATTTCCAACCAAACCGCAGTACTCTGAGCAGCATCTGTTCAGTCTGTGGAAAGCATGTTCACCTGGTTCAGAGGATCCTCGTTGATGGCAAACTTTATCATCGGAACTGCTTCAGGTGAATGGTCAACTGCCTAGCATAACATTTGCATCTGCATCTGCATTGTTCTATTATTTAAAGCTTAAAAATAACATTACTTATTATTCCCTCTGCTGTCATCACTGCTTTTGTGAGAATGTCTGCTTTTATCTCAGATGTAGGGAATGCAGCAGAACTTTACTTCCTGGCTCTTACAAGTTTACAGAGGATCCTGGATCATTAGTTTGCACACACCACTTCACCAGATCTGCCTCCACCAATCAGAATGGTCATTCAGATACGAGTAATCAATTAGACAAATTAACCTCAACAAGCCCAGAAGACCCAAACAATAGGAGTTTAGAATCTAAAGCATCACACAGCGATGCTGAGATCACCCCGGAGAGAGAGGAAGAGGAAATAACAGAAATAGAAAAATCAACAAGTAAGCAACAAGATGGCAGATCAAAAGTCGAGACAGAGCACAGAGCACCTTGTTCTTCTAGTCCACCAAATCCTTTTGATGAATCTGAAGAGGAGGATCAGGACACACAACAAGAAGACCACAAGCCAGCCGCTGATGTAGCCAATGGCGATGGGCCAGCAACTTTGGTGAAGACTACTGCAGCAGAAGGTAGACCGGTTCCAGCACCTAGACGGGTATTTGAGCCCACCCCTGCTCCTCGGCCTGTACCCAGGCCACGCCCACCTAGGCCTTCTGAGAGCCCTATTGTCAATGGTGAGCACTGATGCTGATCTTGTCTGCATTCATAAAACTGTCTTAACATTGTACTGGCCATTCTATTACATGTTGTTTCCATGTTTTACATTTGCTAAATGTAATGTTTGTCTTTTAATTGTGGTTCTAGGAGATCCTGATACTCAAATTCCTCAGGCTCCTGTGCCAAGAGAAAGACTGCACTCACCTGCTCGGTAAGATAATTGCTGACATCTCCTTTACTGTATCTCTTATTATGCATTCTTCGGGTTTTGTTTTTTTTATGTACACTACTGTTCAAAAATTTGGAATAATTAGGATTTTTGATGTTGAAAGAAGTCCCTTATGCTCACCAAGGCTGCATTTATTTAATCAAAAATACAGTAAAAAGGCAGTCTCGAAAAGCCAAGCCTTTAAGTGAGATGCTATTATCACAAACACAATATTTCAGATATGCTGGATGTCAAACCAAGCTCTTTCAGTAGACGGAACTTCAGGACCTATGAACTTCAGTGAATCCCAAATCATTGGCTATAATGGAACCATTTAATATCCACTGAGTGCCCTGGCAAGGTTGCGCTAGCCTATTCAGTATAGAATAATTCATATATACTGAATTAAAAGCTGCAGTGTGAGGCAGCAAGACAGGGATTACTTCTTTTTTTTTTTCTTTTTTTTTTTACATTTGCATATATTTGAAAACAGCAAAGCAGAATTTTCAGTAGCCATTACTGTCACATGATCCTTCAGAAATCATAATAATAATAATTCATATTAATAAAATAAAAAAGCTTATTAGAATCATTTTTGAAGGATCATGTGACACTGAAGCAGGGCTAAAGTTACTGGTGGGCCTATTATAAATATTAAAGTATATCGAAACCGAAAACAGTTATTTTAAATACTAATAAAATGTCAAATTATTACTGTCATTTTCATAAAATACATCCAGCCTTAGTGAGCATAAGAGACTTTTTTCAAAAACATAAAACACTAAATTATTCCAAACTTTTGACCAGTAGTGCATCTCTTTGTGATTTCCTCTCAGTGGTTGTAATGCATTCCTTTCCCAGCTCTAGCAAGGCCAATGACACTCCTAAACCAAAAGACCCACCCTGGCTGGCTCTTGTCCAATCAGAAACCAAGAAGAAACCAGCACCTCGCCCACCCACAGGTATAGCTATACCTCCCTGCACTGGTTCATCTCCTTCTCAAAAGGAGGAGGAATCAAGACCATCCTCTCCTCCAAATCCCTTTGATAATGATGAGGAAGAAGAGCCAGAAACATGTCCTGAAGATCCCCCTGGTCCTGTGGTGGCTAGTCATCCTTGGTATGGGATCACTCAGGCTTCTGAAATCACATCTGGGGACACAAGAAGACAAAGTCCTGCCCCTTCTGAAAGTCCCATAAGTGTCCGAAGGAAGAAGCGACCAGCACCCAAAGCTCCGAATTCTTCTACATCAGGTTAGTTGCTTACAGTGTCTGACATCATATATTTTGCTTTACATAACTTCAGAGCTGGTGAAGACTGAATTTGAATCGTCCACTATAATATTGAAAGGTGCCCCCTACCACCATTATTTGCTACAATACTTCCTGTATTTCTGCTGTATATAGGTATTCCAACTTGTTTTAATTACATTTAATTAATTAAATTAAATCACTAACAGTCATTTTGATAATCGAGTAATCTTTCCATTATTATTTCCATTATTCTAATGAATAATTGAGTAATCTGGTTTTTTTTTGGTAATAAAAATAGACCTAAGCAAACAATAGACTTTAAAATGACTTAAAATAAAATAAAATCTCAAACGCAAGTAATCATATGGTTTTATTGAACAAAACACATGTAATAAAACAATATAAAATACATAATGTAATAAAACAATATAATCATAACTTATGTACATTAGGGCTGTGCGATTTGGGGGAAAATATCAAATAAAACATTTTTTTTTTGACAGATATTGCGATAGCGATTTGATTTGCGATTTTAAATTTGCAAAGTCAAGCTTCAGCTCAATATTGTCAATAATGTGCAGCACAGTATGGGTATCATTACCCTGCTGAAAAAAACAATAGAAACAATCACAGAAATTCTTATAGTTTCCATTAAACCATTACAAAATTCCTTTTTGTTTTGGGCATTATTCCAATAGGAATTACTGTTGTTCTATTGGTTGCCATCTGCCAGATTACATCCCACCAATAGAATCCATCAGATACTAGAATTATTCATTTTAAGTATTTAGGATTTTAAGAACAAGTGGAAAATGTGCTGAATGTTTAATTTCATCCAAGTGAAATTAGCAAGCAGTTAGACTGAATTTACATTCGTTTTAAACGCGGAGCCAGGCGCGAGTCGACACAGGTTGCGCGCGTGTGTCAAGCCTCGTCCATACTGCCAGATGCACTCGTGAAGACTTGCGGAGCCGGGTGCGAGTATAAATGAGCATTACGAGACAGGCTGCGTGAGTGCGGCAAGCTTGAACGGCTCATCCGTGACGCGGGATTCGCGCCGTGTGGGGCAGAGAGGAGCGAGTATGAGAAGCATTCACAGACACAGGCTGTGTGTGCGCTCTTCTGAATTGGGAATAGCGAACATGCATCATAAACTTATTTCAAATTAATCTGTTGGGGAGATAAAATGTGTAAGATAACGTTCACGTACTAACAAAAACATCTAAGAATGTATCTTTTATTCTCCAGTACTGAAAACAGAACCGATAAGGGAGCTCTTGATATGCTCTGTGACGCAGCTCTTGCAAATGACCTTTTTTTGTTCATTGTCTGTCATTTCGAAGCTTAAGTTGCATACGTTTTTCTTTAGTTTTAATTTGCCTAACTATCGATATGACCCAGTAGACGCCATAATCCCACTCTGTCTCTCTCCCGACCCGCTTTTTTATTTATTTATTTTTTTAATGATGGGCATTTACGCAGTTGGCTAGAGCAGTGCTGATTGGGGAGAACGGAGGTGCGCTCACTCTTGCCCAGGGCAAGACTGCAACTCAAGGCAGGCAGTCATGCATATGCTCTGGAACAGAGTAATATCGCGTCCACATCGCAACGTGTCAAATTGCGATTTCGATTCGATTTCGATTAATCGCACAACCCTAATGTACATTATGTATTATATCAAATGCCTGCAGAGGGCGCCAATGGCCTGACGATTGGCATAGGTTTATAAATGTTTTACGTTGTAAATCAGATAGAATGGTGCACATTGTTCCCAGATGAACCTTATAAGCAACTCAGACTCACAGCATATGCAAAGATGGAGTTTGAGATGGTAAATGATAACTGTTCGTGTGGAGCAGCATTTAATGTGGACGAAGCATATTAATAAAATGCATATTAAACCCACGGCACACATTTATTTAATTGAGTCACATCTTTGTAAATTAACAATAGCACTATGCTTTATTATGATTTTTAAAGGGTTTTAATATTTCATGCAGCCTTAGAAAATGGTCTAATAATGCTTTTCATAGATTCTAGTCCGTGGAATTTTGCCGGTTAAACGACACGGGCAAAATGCATTTGTTTTTTTTTTAATAATCGAGTACTCTAATTTAATCGAGGAATCATGACTAGGGCTGTAAAAATAGCTAAAAAAACTAAATTCGAATTTTGTACTTAAATATGATCAAAATTCGAATTATATTCGAATTTAAAATGCATAATTTCAGTTAGGGTGAAGAAAAGCTTTTGGATTCTCTCCTGAAGCCACAAGAGGGCGCATCGAGCAAAATATTACTAATGCACATTTCTTCAAAGCATAAGGGAACATGACTATCTGTGAAAAAAGTGCATAATGTTTAAAATAATGTTTATAAACCAATTATAATTAATTAAGTTGCTTAAACAACTATAAACAAAACAGCATCATGTATGTATGCATAGTTTAATACAAAGGACCGAAAACCAATCACACAAGAGTACATTTTTCATTTAAAAACACGAGTTGCAGTGGGATGGGGGAAAACCCCCCCGCCATAAAGTCTCGAGATACGTGTTTTCAAAGTTGAACTTGCATTAATTTTACATGGCTTTCTAAACATGCGGCTCTTTTGTGCGAGATGCAAGTGCAACGGTGATAGATATCCCTCTAGAAAATGCGTGAAATATGCATTCTGTGTGAACGGCTTGATTTCAGTTTTGACGTAAACAACAACATCTCCACATTGATGTTCTCTTTTCCCGCAATAGTTGTAATTAACAATGCAGCAGCGCCGCATCTAGTGGCTTCAACTGGATAGGCTAACAAAAACATTAAAATGCAATGACATACATCATCATCGCATCTCGTGCGCCACTGATAAGGCTACCTCCTTAACGCACACCTAAAATTCGAAGGCAACGTTTTTACATTCGAATGTGGATTTTTATTTTAAATTCGACGAATATTCGAAATTATAATTTTTTTTGACAGCCCTAATCATGACAGCCCTAATTAAGAATTCATCACAGTTTATTTAGTAATTCATGAAGTTTCAAGAACTGTATGATCTTAATCAATAAAAACTGTAGTTACTGTGGGGTAAAACTTGAAAAACATTAGATTTTTATGCGGCCACACTGGTGTAAACTGAGCATTTTCATTTAGAATTAGAATATTTTAATATATTTATAATTTATTTATATAAATACTTTTAACTCGTCCTACAGCCCTCTCAAATGTTTGAGGCCCCATGGTTGTTACACTATATTGTAGCTGACTAACTACTCACATGTATGTATTTTTTTGTTATATATTTTTTCCCGGGTCATCTCTTTCCTGCTGTTCTTTAGCTTTTCTTTCATCTCAGACTTCCTCTCCTGCTTCTTCTCTAGCTCTGAGCACAGAGAGCCTTTCCTCCTCTTCCTCAGACCACAGTGCAGTCCCCCAGCAACCTGCTGCTGCTGAGGACCATTTGTTTACCAAGAGTGTGTCTGAACCATCAATCAACGTTCCTGCTTCTACCCTGTCCCAAAAAACTAAGCTTCAACCTCACTGTTCTCCAAACCTGCCTCCTCCACCACCACCTACCAATACCAGCTCAGCGCCAGCTACTCCACAAACCAATCGCAGTGTGAGACCACCACCATCCCCCTATTCACAGACACCCAGCACTCCAGGAAAGGTTAGATTGAACAGCAGTGTGATCTTGACAGTAAAAGTTTGAATCATTTTTATGCTTTCCTATTCTTTTCACCAACAAAGCGTTTACTTGATCAAAAATAGTCAAAACCTATTTTAATTCAATTAACTGTCTATTTTCATATTAGAATTTAAATTAAAATGAGAAATTGTTCCGCTTAAACTACAGTTACCACACCAAAACTTTTTTTTTTGTCCTAAAAATGCAGCTCTTATGTGTAGAACTACTTACCTATGCCACTGATTCAACATCCCAAACCCTTATTACTAATTCAAAGGCTAACTCAAAAGCGGTACTGTAGAACTAGTAATGGATACTTGGCATGTATTTATGCAGTTATTGGTAAATGGCAAAGAAAGCAAGTGTAATTACCTTTGTTGTTGGGAGGTAATGACATTTGTTGAAATGTAACAAAGTTTAGTAGCAAAATATTTAAAAAGGGGTCATAAAATGTAGAATCAAAATATGTATATGTACACATTAGGGATGTGACGACTCACTCAACTCACGATTCGATTCACGATACTGATTTCACGATTCGATTTTCTTACGATTTTTTCTATACAAAATTAGATTTAAGACAAATTATAAATGAAAATAAATGTCTCTTCATATAAACAAAGGCTACCTGTGCGCTTTCCATTCAAAATTAATAGGCAACCACTGCATTTGAATCTCAATCCAAACAAAGATGCTGAATACATGCAACATGAGCAGTTTTTTTAATCTAAATTAGATTGCATAATTTGAAAATTTAAAGCAAAAACAGAATGCTCTGACTTTAGTTTTATGAAACTACACTACATAAAACATCTGCACGAAACAAAGAGCAGAAGCTCTGAATGAGACGCAGATTCACTCTCTGACAGCAGGAGGCGCTTATGGAGCAGCAGGATACAGCGTTTCCTTGGTTACCACTGTAAACAAAGCAGCGCAGCGCTTATGAACTGCTTTAATATGAATTATACAGAGACGTGATGAAAAGAAAATATAATCTAATCTTTTCTAAAGACAGTCGGTTCCCCTCAGAGATACATTCATGTAAACTCCCACCCCCAAATGTATCGCGATTTGTTTAGCATCTCAACCGATTTGAATCGTCACATATTTGTATCGATTTTCAACCGGCTCGTGGTGAATCGCTACATCCCTAGTACACATAAAAGAGGTTATGTTACATTAAAAACATACTGCAAGTTTCATAAAATGCACAACATTCTGTAAAGAAGGCTGTGGATAAGGTGCGATGAAGTTAGCCAAACACCGCAGTTGGTGTTTAGTTCCTTTTCTGCAAGAGGTAACACCCCTTTGAAGTTGAGTGTTTTTCACAGAGTGAAAATGCAGATGGAAAATGGTCATTTTTACAAATATCGGATCTTTATTGCTGCAAAAAACTTTGCAGACTTCATTAACTAACAATGAGAAACATAATATAAAAATCAGAAACTGCATTTCATGTCCCTTTTAACTGATCAAGCAACAGGGCAGCTGTGACAAGAAGGGTGCGTGTACGAGATTTCATTTCAAGTTTTCACATCTTAGATCCAGGAAATCCTCCAGAGTCCAGAAGCTTTCCTTTCTTACTTTCATTGTTCAATATCTTTGATTAATGCTCTCTCATCACTGTCATCTTCAGCGCACTTGTAAAGAGAATCCATTTAATCGGAAGACAACCACCACTGTAAGCTCTTCTGTATCCAGACCCCCAAAAGGGCCCCGTCCTGCACGACCTCCTGCTCCTGGACATGGATTTCCTCTCATTAAACGCAAAGTGAGGCACAGACAGCAGCCTCTTGCTACTTTTTTTTTTTTTTTTACTATCATGAATATGAATATGGTGTTGAATATGGAAAAGTAGTAATAATATTTGTATTGCATTTTTAAAAATGTATTAGTCTATATACAAGGTCAGAATTAAAGTAGTTTGGTAGTAACCATTTGACTTTTTCATCAGACATTTGTCTCTTACCACCCATATATTAGTGAGTGCATGCTTATAATTTCCTGTCCTGTCATCATATTTGGTAGGTACAGTCAGACCAGTATATCCCAGTTGAAGACATCCATGTAGAGATGAGTGATCTGGAGAAACGGTTGGATGAATTAGAGCAGAGAGGGGTGGATCTAGAGAAGAGCTTACGAGAATGTTCAAATGGTAAGAGAACTGCATGCTACAGAAGAACTTCCAACATTGGCTGTGCTAATGAGATATGAATTAGTCAAGGATCTGATATTTCTGAGAGTAGCTAATGATCCAGTGTTTTCAGTGCCCTGTAGTGGCTCCGTTTACAGTTAATGCTGTTTCACACAAACTCCATCTCTCTCACAGCGAGTTTGGTTCACTTATAACGTGCATTTAAACGCAAGGCACACCAACCATCTTCAATATTTGTAATAAGAATTGTTTTCAAATTTGTTGTCAACAAAAGAGAAGCTTTATGGCCTACCAGTGTTTTTCCAACAAAATAAAAGCTCTATAGTTTAACATTTGAAAGAAATTAGGATTGCCATAAATATTGTAATTTTTTTCTGAAAATTTAATTTAAAAAATCATTTCAATATTTCTTTATTGATTTGTTTGATTTTAATAATTTAAATAATAATAAAATATATATTTAATAATAATGTTGATTACATTTATGTATTATTATTATTATTATTATTATTATTATTATTGT